CCAATCAGGCTACAGATTTATTTAGCCTTTCTGTCCCTTTAGCGCCAGTTTCTAAACTCCATTCCCTCAGATTAAAATCACTATCATCTAAAGTTGTGTTGGTGCTTTAGTCAGCCAGAATCCAGCATGTTCTGTGGTGAGCATATCTGTTATCATGCTAGCTAAGCTAATGCTAACCAGCTCCTCTCTCTTAGTTAGTGGCACTGTTTAACATTCAGCAGTTGTTTCATACATGGTTTGACATTCATTGAATGGTAGCTGAAAAATCATGCAGTCTTCACTTTTTGGTGAAAGTGTAAGCAAAATGAACCTTTTGATTATTTCGCTTCATGAAGTAACGCTGTTACCCACTGGTGCAGGGATTTATTATTAAGAGGTCTCGAAAATCAATTTCTCCACAGACTGCCAACCAATGTTATAAAGTGAATGAAAATGATTTTTTTTTTTTTTTACAAAGACAAGAATAAAACAATAATAGAATAAGTTCTAAGTCAAGGAATGTGTTAAAATCTGAAAATCTGGGATGTTCACAGTGCATTTTGCAGGCCCAATGACAACACAGAAGGAATGATACAAAAATTGTTGGTTAGTATAAAAATTGAATGAAATGTGATTGGTTGCTGGGTTACAAGACTGATCTCCAAATTACATTATTACTGAAACACCATACATGGAATTCTTAGTAAAAAAAAATATAAATCTTTTAGGAATTTCTATTTTTTAGACTTTCTTTTCAGTTTTCTATTTTTGTGGGACAGCTGGGATAGGCTCCAGCCCCCCACGTGATGTGTGTGTGTGTGTAAAAAGTGGCTCATCAGATCTACTTAAAAAAATTACTTCATGTGGGAATAAGTAAATGAACTAGTTTTATCCAACCTAAATAAATACTTTGAATGAATGATCCTTTCAATCAAAGTGATTTTTTGAGTTGAATGAAACTAGTTCGATTGCTTGTTACCACATGAAGTAATTTCTGTAGATCTGACGAGCCACTTTTTACAGTGTAGTAAAAAAAGAAATCTTCTAGGAGGTTTGAGCTTAGGTGTACGTGCAAAATTACATGCTGACAGACAGCAGAATTAAATATATCAGACGGACACCGCCCAGACAGTCAGAAACTCAAGCTGAATTTGAATTCTATCGGAAAGTTTAGGGAAAAAAGTTCAGTCAACTTTTGTGTTGCGTGTGTGTACCACACAAAGAAGGAAATGTCTAAGGACTTAAAAAAACAAAACTGCAGAAAAACTTGGGCAATACCAAGGCTACCAGTCCATCTCCAGAGATCTTAATGTTGTCATCAAGATGCTGACCATGACACTGTGGCTAATGTCTGTGGATGGTGGTGTCCAATCACTGTCCACTCTATTAGACACTCCTACCTTGTCAGTCCACCTTGTAGATGTAAAGTCAGAGACGATAGCTCATCTGCTGCTGCACAGTTTGTGTTGGTCATCCTCTAGTCCTTCATCAGTGGTCACAGGACGCTGCCCACAGGACGCTGTTGGCTGGATATTTTTGGTTGGTGGACTATTCTCAGTCCAGCAGTGACACTGAGGTGTTTAAAACTCCAGCAGCACTGCTGTGTCTGATCCGCTCAGACCAGCGCAACACACACTAACACACCACCACCACGTCAGTGTTAATGCAGTGCTGAGAATGATCCACCACCCAAATAGTACCTGCTCTGTGAGGGTCCACTGGGGTCCTGACTACTGAAAAACAGGGTAAAAGGGGGCTAACAAAGTATGCAGAGAAACAGATGGACTACAGTCTGTAATTGTAGAACTACAAAGTGCACCTATATAGTAAGTGGAGCTGATAAAATGGACAATGAGTGTAGAAACATGGAGGTGGTCATAATGTTATGCCTGATCGGTGTATGTTAACAAAACAATGTCCCAGAAGGACTTTGGCTACCTGAAGTAATTTAGCATTACTGAGTCAGAAAACAAAACCTGGTTTGTGTATGCTGCAGTGAGTCGCCCTGTAAAGCCCGAAATAATCATTTAAAAGTCAGAGGCGTTGGGTCAGGAGTTTTTCAGGACCACGTTGTACATCCTTACATATTATCATCAAATGCAGAGTCTCAAAAGGTCAACGTTATACTGATGAGGATATGATGACACGAGTAGATAATTCACTCACATCCTCTGAAGACGTGTTCC